TAGGAAACATGACTTAAAAATGAAAGTAAGAACTTCTTTTTATAAAGTGCTAACCAAAAATTCAGATCATGGGCTGGAGGGATGGCTCAGTGGTTAAAAGCACTGGCTGCTCTTCCAGAGGACCCTAGTTCAGTTCCAACACGCACATAGCAGCTAACAACTGTCCATAACTCCAGTTTCAGAGGATCCAACAGTCTCTTCTGTCCTCCAAGGGCATTGCATGACACAGGTGCACTTACCTACATGTAGGCAATACACTCACACACATAAAATAAATAAATTTTTAATTTTTTTAAAAAAATATCTTTCAGGGGCTGGAGAGATGGCTGAGCGGTTAAGAGCACTGGCTACTCTTGCAGAGGACCCGGGTTTGATTCCCAGTACCCATATGATGGCTAACCACCATTCATAATTCCCGGGGAATTTGATGCCCTCTTTTGACCTCTCTGGGCATTGCACAACAGGAGTATACTTACATACAAACAGGCAATACACTCATACACAAAAAATAAAAATAAAATTTATTTTAAAAAGAAGTAAGAAATCATGATACTACAAAATCAACAATGCATCACTGTTTAAGAATGGCATGCTTGCGCTGGAGAGATGGCTCAACAGTTAAGAGCACTGCCTGCAGAGGACCTAGGTTTGATTCCCAGCACCCATATGGTGGCTACCAACCATCTGTAAATCCAGGAGATTCAACGCCGTCTTTTGATCGCCATGGGTGCACTTACATACATGCAGGCAATATACTCATACACATGAAATAAAAATAATAAATTTTTAAAAAAAGAATGGCATGCTTACTCGTGCATGCTATCTGATGCCAAGCCCAGATTCTAGGACTACATAGAACAGGACCAATGTGCTTGTTCTGCCGTTACACACATTGTAAATGAAGGTGACTATGTGTTTGGTTATTTACTTTCTCCATTATCTACAGTTACATATTAAAAAAATAAATAACAGATTATAGCCATAGGCTGCTCTACAGAAGCAATGTTTCAGAGTCTAATTATCATTAAAGTTAAATATTCAAGGATTTCATGATAAACATAAGCTAATGAACTTAACAAAAAGCCCTGTAATGTATCCATGCATGCCCCTAGGATCACTGCACTAAGTATGAGGTTAACAAGCCCCACATCTTTTTACCAGGATAAAGTGGCCAAAGACATTGGTTTCAAACACCTCCTGGAACCCATCAGCAGTAACTCTGTCATTCTGGGTTAACAGGCCTTCAGCTGTGGAGAACATATGAATCACGTTTCTGAAACGGCAGAAAACAGCATTGTGACTTTCTACAGCTTCTGTAACTGAAAATACTGAGGATGCTCCCAGCCCACCCTACACCACCTCCTTTGTTCTTTTTCTTGGGGGGTAGGGGTGGACAGGGTCTTCTTGTAACCCCAGACGGCCTGGAACTATGTAGACCAGGCTGGCCTCCATCTCACGAAGATCCTCCTGCCTTTGCCTCTGCCTCCTGAGTGCTGGAATTAAAGGCATATGCTACCACACCCAGCCTCCTTTGATTCTTTTAATGACAAATAAAAGACAAATGCCTTGGACACTGATGAGTATTAAATGAGATACAAAATGCATCCTTCCTGTGTTTGATTCCCAGCACCCACAAGGTGCTCCAGTTCCAGGGTAATCCGATACCCTCTTCTGACCTCCATGGGCACTGTACAACACAGGTACACTTACATACATGCAGTAATACACTCATATACATCAAATAAAAAAATAAATAAATGCGTCCTTTTCCCCAAGTTCACGGATGTGTTTAACATACTTTCCAGATCTCACTAGGAAATAAGGTTACAGCTGAACTGCTCTTGGGCAACAACAGCTATGACAATGAGAAAAAGTCTTTACTCACACCAAGTGTGTTTACTGAAAGAAGCTAAGCAGGTTCTTTTTTAGAGCATTAATACAGTGTTGTGCTGGACACCACTTAGTAGTGGAATCTGCACATGCTTTATTGAAAAGAACACGAAAGCATCTGTGCACTACTTAGCATGCATTAAAACTCTATTACAAATAGGTGCACGGGGCTGCAAACTACGACTTATTTCTGATTCTGGTTTGTGGTTAGATAGTTCTGAAAACCACTAGACTCATGTCTACTGAGAATCTCACAGGCAGACATTAGTTCTCTGTGTTCCCTCAACCTATTAGTCAAAGCACCTGCCACATAGCTAGGCAATGTTTCAAAGCAGCCTTCCAAGGCGCTGGAGGCTAAGAACTCAGCCTCATTTAGAAAGGTTCCCATTCAAGCATATCAAAAGCTGATGCCCTGAACCATCTGACCACTTGGAATGTCTCAGAGACCCAGAACATTATAAAAACCATGATGTGCAGTGTCCCCCACAAACATAAAAGTTTTACTCTCCTAATGCAATTCCAATGCCTTCTTTCTACAAATTTCCATCCATGCAACATCTCTTTACTTTCCATGCCCCAACATAACACATACACACTAAAGGTAGAACCCTTGGCAGCAAAATGAACACCTTCCTTGCAGTCATCAGCTCATTGAGAAAGGAGAAATTACCTTGAGAAGAGGCCAGAGAAAAATGCTTTGATATTTAGCTGCGGATTAGGCATAATCCCAGCATTCAGATATAAGTAGTCTAATCTTTGAAACCTGCAAGAAAGACACCAAAATGACATTGTTAGAATACTGAGACAAGATTGTACATTCACTCTCTAAAAATAAGGATAGAAAAACATTTTTGGAACCAATTACGATGGCAACTGCTAACTATATAACATCAGGGTTACAATATTTCTTTCTCAACCATTTTTTTAAAAACCATTTATTTATTTTTATTTTATGTATATGAGTGTCTTGTATGTATTTAAGTGAACCTGTGTGGCACAAGGCCTGCAGACTCCAGAAGAGGTCATTGGATCCCCTGGAACTAGAGTTATAGACTGTTTTTAGCCACCATATGGGTGCTGGGAATCAAACCTGGGTCTTCAGGAAGAGCGATCCATGCTCTTAATCACTGAGCCATCTCTTCAGTCCCTCAAACATTTTTCGTCAGCCACAGCAAACACTTGAGCATCCTTTTCCAAAGTGGTTTCAGTGGGCTTTGAAATTACATGTCTATACACACATCCAGCTTTGTCTCATTAGTTGGATATTGAACAATCCTCTATTAAACCCATTTTCCTCCTAGTCTTCTTACACAGATTTCTGCCCTTTTATCAGTTCACACCTTCCATACTTAACAATTAAATTTACGTAATGTATAGCAGCTCTAACCTGATCTATCAGTGCTGGAACGTGGATGCCAGGCACCTATCAAAATAGAAGATCCATGTGGAAGCCAGAGTTCATGGTCACAGGCTTATGTATCACAAAATGATGAAAGTTTGCCGCCATACAATGAACCCGTACATGTCCAGCGGGGATGGGATATGCTCAGTGGACTCTCTCCAGAATACAAGTCACAGAGGAGCTGTGAAATGCTGACTTGAACAAGCTTTTATAGTTTTGAACCTTCACAAGCCTTAATCTAAGTGTATCCCTTTGGAAGGCTGTGCCTGCTCTAGTGATAATCAGGCATCATGTACACTCACAACATCGCCTAGAATTCTAGGTACCATACTGTGTCCTCTGTGTAATACAGCCACAGCCACTAAAACTGGAGATTGAAATATATACATGGTTGCCAATATGGATTAAGTACCAGCATTTCAGGATCGTCCTATAAATAATGAATAGACAAATGAGTCGAATTATTAAGCTATTTTAAATGATATTATATCTATCACACTATCATTCATCATTAAGTGCCATGGAGACAAGGGTCCATAGATTGTTAGTTGTTCCAGTATTGAATCTACACACTTCCATCTAGCAATAGAACTTATTTTGCTAGGAATAAAGAAGTAAGTCTTCGTCAAGAATGAAAACCAAGCTCTGGCTTCAGTAAATCAACATAATTACTGTACTCACAGACCCAGGGGCTCCATCTGGATAAAATGACTTACTAGTTCTTAGGAGTTCTAAGAGAACAGAGTATTGCAGATGGAAAGACCAATCAAGGATGGTTCTGCTTTTGCCAACTGGAAGAAGTCCTTCTGAACTCTCTTGGCTCTAACTTCCTTTGGGTTGAGAATTGAAGATACTTACGTGGACCATTAACTGCACTAGACCCTTGACATAATCAAGAGATCTAACCGGACACCTTCACATATGTCTACCTTTGTTGATATCACCATCATTTCCCTGATTCAGGTAATATACCTGTCTCAAAGAGCTGCTTTAGGTAGGCTAGGGATATGGTTCAGTGGTAGGGCATTTGCCTAATATGTATAGGATACTGGGTTCAATCCCATTACTACAGGAAGAGGGAGCAGAGAGGGACAGAAGGAGTGATGGAGGAGGAGAGATGCTCTGAGGATTAAAAACAAACAATGCCAGGCATGGTGGTGCACGCCTTTAGTCCCAGGCAGGCGGATCTCTGTGAGTTCGAGGTCAGCCTGGTCTACATAGTGAGTTCCAGGCCAGCTGGGGCTACAAGGAGACCCTGTCTCAAAAAAAGACCAAAAAAAAAAAAAAAAAAAAAAAAAAAAAAAAAAAAAAAAAACCCCAAAAAAAAAAAAAAAAAAACAAAATGGGGGGAGGCTAGGAAAAAC